CTTCTCACTAGAACTCCAGGAGTATCTCTTGAAGTCAGTCACTAGTGAGCAGATGATTATTATGCGAAGGGGTTTGTGGAGATTTTAGAAATTTCACAGATTGAAATCATGAGTCAATTGAAGCTAGACCACCATGGAAAACCTGGAAGCACTAGACGGCCGTTTCGTCGTATTGTGGGACTCCTCAGCAGTGCAAATCCACTATCCCGCCGTTCAGTGCTTCCAGGTTTTCCATGGTAGCGTAGCTTCAGTTGACTCATGATTTCAATCTGTGATATTACAAATATATTAATTTATTGATAACAATCTATGCAATACACAATATATTCAAAATTATCAAATCAAACCTTGGTATTGATATCTACAAACTATAACTATATCAAAACTGAACATTCAACATCTGATTCTTGATTACATCATAAGTGTACACTATTAAACAAAACAATCACAATCATTACTCTATCTTCAAAAAGAAAATCAATAGAATTGTGACATTTATATTGAATGTGTTATTCACATAGAAAAAACAAGATAGGAATATTATAGAATAAACATATAAACAATGTATTATATAAGTTAATGTATTGTCTTCTATCTAAAGAAAGTTATATATGTATAGTGTACTTCTTTCATCTTTTGTTTAACTCACACAGAACAAAAAAATAAAATGATGTTCATGCATCTTTATCCATGGTTACTAATCATTGATATTTCAGAAGAAAACAAAATAAGTCATAAAAAATTGTTGAGACTATTCATCATCAGTTCTATTCTCTTTTATGATAGAAATAACTTAGACTATAAATATTGACATATTTCTTCTTTGCCTTTTCTTTTCTTTTTGTCTCTTGGAATACTATTTGTCTATGTTTAGATTGATTGCTATATAGTGATATATAAGTTTACGGTGTATATATCAAATGTAAACTTATTACATTTAGTAATAAATTTCGAAAAAAACAAACAAATAAGAAGTGTCACATTGTCAAAGCAGATTAAAATGCTCAAACGAGTTAGAATGATATTAGATTATCAAAAATCAATAATTGTAGACCTTTTCTTCATTTATATTGGTCTTTTAAATATTCTATTTGATGTTGAAGACTAAAAATGATCAGTCTATTTTGACATATGCGCATCTTAAATCGACTGTCTTGATATTACCTTAGGCTACAAGTATTTTAATGGTGACATTCGGGAAGTATGTTTCGTTCAGCTTGGGACTCATTAGCTGGATGTGCCTGATTCCCATGGCTGGTGTTCAAGTCGGGACTGATCAATTTCAGTCTCAAACATCTATGAAAATATTTAAAAACACAGTGTTAAAATGAATTTAAATTCGGTCGATTACACAAACCAGCAGTTATATGAACTCACAAGCTAACCGGATAACATGATGGCGTTTGAAATGAGAGGTTTTTTGTTTGAGTCGTGAAGTGAATATCATCTGTGTGGTATTGGTAGGCCCATTTTACGAACCCAAAATGGAATGAAAAGCGCGTCCTTGATTCCATTGCTAGCCACCATGCACCTCTGTTTACAATGAGAGCCTTTCAGTTCACAATTCAAAGCTATGTACAATTTCAGTTTCGTTTGTTATCACGTTTCTCTTAAACATTTCAACTGTCAACTCCTCATCAAGTATTACATTTTGTAAATTTCTTTTTTTTTGTAAAATCTTTACAATATTAAATATGATATCCAAAGAATAATGGAATACGTAGTATGATTTGCATTTTAATGAATATGGTGATTGTTGGTACAGCGGTTAAACAAATAAAATCTATCAGTTATAGTACTTACTATTAACTACTAATTTTATTTTATTACTCAGTGGGACTTTTGGAGATGTAAAAGATTGTGATATTTATGTTGAAACTCTTAATGACAAGTGAGATATCATGGTATGTGCAATTTGTATTGCAGTAAGATTCTACTTACTAGACTAAATTGTTTTGATACTTGGTATCCAAAATTAATACATTTCAACAACAGACTGTATTTGCTGCAGCAATGCCAATAAAAGGTATTGAAGTATAAAACAAAATACAGTACAATAGTATTTTATGAATATCATGTTGTTCATGATTGATTGATTACCAGAGGTGTTAGGATAAAACTGAGACTAAATACATTCAAATTAACATTTAGAATGATCTCAAACACTATGCCTGATTAAATTCACTCACATAATATATCGTCCTTGCCAAATAAACTTGAAGAAGTTCATAATATTTTAAATTTCAATATAATGGGTCTCTAGATGTTAAATTGTAGAGTTTACAAGATTTAGTTGCTATGCATTGCAACTAAAGCAGCAAAGTCTTTAAAAAAACATTAATGCTACTTATCATATCACTTTTTATGGCAAATTAATTTAGTGAAAATCAGCTCCATGATGATAATAACAACAGTTTGTTAAAAACAGATTATTAATCTGTATTTATTTGGTTACCAAAGGAAGACTAAATATCTTTTAATGAAGAATATCGGTTTATTAATTCTACAAGCTTCAGTTGATATTGGCAACGACAACATTAAATAAAAGTTGTATGTAGAAATTAAATTTCTATTAGTGATATTTAGATTTTATTCATGAATGCAGGCTGATTTTAATGAATATTAAACGTCCTTATAAACAAAGTCTTCATCATAACTGATTAATTCTTACGTAAGAAAATGCTTTCTAAGTGATAACGTAAGAACTTACGAGAAATAAAGAAATTCGAATAACATTCACGAAGATGGTTCATTTCCAGCTAAAAGTTAATTAGTCGATAAAAGTTATAGTTCAATAAAAAACATAAAACTTTCTGATAGTAAGCTAATAGCAGTGTTCAGTTTACGGAATTTTCAGTTTAACATTACTAAGATTCAAAATATACAACTAATTTAAGCTAATCTATGGATTATATCTATCAACCAGTGTGTTTAAGTCAGTGATACAGTTAGTCATATTTCGGACATATTCACAAGAAATTACTGTTGTATCCCGATGAGAATAATAAATGGTAACCGTTGGAATCTATTTCTTTACTAATACTGTGGTGTGACCTACTTATATTGATATAAGTAGTATATAACGTGCGTTAAAAGAACGTAATGTCCGGCAGCAGAAGATGGCGAAGATCAAGAAAGGAAGAGCAAGAGCACAATGGAATTGTAAGAAAACACATGTACAATGGAATGGGAGACAATGGATTAGTGTTTGCAACGGGAACAGTACAGTTTGATATGATGGAATGATATTTTGCAAATTGACGATTGACTTTATGGTATTAACGTTTTACTGAGATAGTCTGTAATTTCTGTGCTAAATACATTCGATTGTCCCCACCCGTGTTCTTGTTCACTACAATACTATACATATATTTTAATTAACTAAACTATTCATATTCGTGTTCCTCTTATTATAAGCATTATTTTAACCTATAGAATATTAATATACGATTTACAGTTCTTGAATTATGACCAGTCTACTAATTATAGTCTTCCATATTCACAGTAACATTTGGTTAAGTCGTGTACAAATGTTTTTTACTATTTCATTGTATGATGTGGTCTGTTTGGTTTATATATAAATCCACTATATTCTAAATACATGATTCATATCATGGAAACTGAGATCGGTGTTCTTGATTTAACAGACAGGGTTAGGCAGAAAGAAGGATCGATAAAGACTCTAGATTGCTCGTACAGGTTTTTATACGTGATTGTTTTCTATGTGGCGGTATCATTACATCATCTATGAATGAGGCACAAGGTCACAGGTTACAGAAATTACTTATTTTGTTCATAGAAATTTGATTCATGAATTGTACATATATTTTTATGAAATGTACCAGTATTAGAATAATGTTCTACATGAATCTAAGCTATTTATTTTAACTAGTGTTCAATTTTACAGAAGTCAAAATAGCTAAATACAAGCTAATAATTTAATAGTAATTTCAACTAACACACAAAACTCCTATACTTTTCAACAAGAATGATCTATCATTTCAATCATACAATAAGTTAGATTTGAATTGAACTGTCATTGGTTTAAGATTAACTAGATTGAATTAATTTAACTTATGAAGTTTAAGTTTCACCATAACACTGTTTAAAACAAAGATGGAAGTTTAGAAATGGAACTATTTAACTCAAAAAAGCAATTTACCATGTGTACTATAACCTCAGTCAGTATGTAGTGCCATTGATAAACTAATATGAAACTAAGCTCTTTTATAAGCAAAGTTGGATAGTGGCTAGCAATGAGATCCAGGATGCGCGTTTCACCCTATTTAGGACTCGTCAGCCGGATGTACCTGCATCTCAAAGTTGAGATTCACTCTGGAACATGAACCCAGTACTTTGCTTGTGAATTAAGGTGATATCGAGGTAATCAGCACAGGATACAGAAATACCAATAAGAGACTGATCATTTGTAGTCATAAGCATCAATGGGAAGATTCAAGTAAACAATACCAAGTGATGGATATGTCGCTCAATTTCGTGGATTAGTTTAAGTTAGACATTAACACTGTCGTGAGCCGGCTCAGTGGTTTAATGGGTAAGTGTTTACGCGCGAGACTGATAGGTCTTGGGTCCGAATCGTGCGAAGCAGGGTCGTGGATGTGCACTGCTGAGGAGTCACACAATAGGACAAAACAGCCGTCCAGTGCTTCCAGGTTTTCCATGGTGGTCTAGCTTCAATTGGCTTATGATCTCAGCTATTAAAATTACTATAATATCCACACAGACCCCGTTTTGAAATCAATACCAAGTGAATGTAAACTCAATTATTATTCTTTTTTTTAAAAATTAATCTTCGAAAATACAAACCTGAATATCTTCTCAATAACTAAATACAATATCAATGAATATTCAATTTATATTAGAAAGAACAAACTATAGTAACATTACATCATTGTTTAATAAATATCATCATCATCATCATCATACAGTACACACCATTACTACTTTTAAACGAAAAAAAAGTAAACAAACAACATTACCATTTCCTTTATGTTGCTATCCCAATATTTTATTAGTGATTAGTTGTCAAGACACAATCCAATATGAATATTAAACAAATATGTAACATAAAATATGATTCCATATAGAATTATGCTTATTCTTCATATTCCTTATTATAAACAATTAACAAACAAGATATTATATCATGATCATTTTGTTTAGTTGAATAATCAACCTTCCTCTCTTTTGTGTTTTTTTAATAGTTTCAATGTATGTTTATCATATATGTCTGTAGGTAAACAAAATAGTGATTTATTCTATCAACTATGTTTTTTTCATTTGTGCTCTCCATAATAAAAGACTGAAAGAAAGAAAGAAAAATTCCATAGACCAATTTTTCTTCTTATTTATTATTATTATTTTGATTACTTAAAGTGGATGTGTGCTAATGTGAATCAAGGAGCTCAATTATACATGCTTTCGTTGCAATTTGTAAAGTACCTATTTACATATATGTACTGACAATGGTGATACCATACTGTATATATATATATATATATATATATATATATATATATATATATATATATATATATATATATATATATATATATATATATATATATTCACACATTCATTTGGATAAATAGAGTTTTGGCATTATAACTGATTTCAGTTCATGATGAAAACTCTAAATCTAATTTCTAACCATAACTATCAACTGTATATATTAATCCTAATTCTACATACTGATTTATAATCTTCATTTAACTGTAGCGTGTAGGTGGATATTCTCAAAGTCACATTAGAGTCGGTCAAAGGTCGTCCATAAGTTATAGTCTCACACATTACTTGTATAAATATGATTTGGAAAATTTTCAAAAAGATCGACCTTTTTTTTAAAAAAAATTCAAACACTATACTATATCTTTCTGTCATTGAATTTTAGTGAATATACAGATACTGTCAACAGCCTGGATTTAAAAAAAAGGCTTAAAATTGTTACATAGCATTTATGAGTGTATATGTATTATATAAACACATGCAGAAAGATATTAGCAACTAGTTACTTATTATTCACTTGGTATTATTTACTTGAATCTTCCCATTGATGATTAGGACTTCAATTGATCAATCTCATTTCACAATCAAGTATTTATCAGGGTTAAGTTGATAACTAGATAACGCGATGCGGTTTGCATTGAACGGTACTGGGTTCGAGTGCCAGAGTGATCATCGACTCTGGGATGCGGGTACATCTAGCTGACGAGTCCCATATAGGACGAAACGCACATCCTGGATTCCATTACTAGCCTTGTATCTATCTTTGTTCAGATACTTATTATGTTTAATAATGCTTTTTTATTGAGGTAATTAAACAGTATCTAAGTTTGGAAGTCTTTAAACATACAGTAGAGTGAACTGTTTGTGTTTAAATTCATTTATCTGTTTAATTTTGCGGAAGTTGGGATTTTTAGATTATTGATTATTGAGACGTAAATGACATTCCAGTCAACAGTCAGCCTCTATGGTATCTGATGATAAAACAAGGAACAATTACTGTTACTTGTTTATTAATGTTACAGTCAACAAGTCTAATGTTGAAGTATATCAGCTTTTTCCCTCTAAAATAGGTTTACTTGAGTATACTAAAATTGAGGAAATCGGTTGTGTCTGAAAGTAACTTACATAGTTTCAGTAAATCAACGAAAGTGTAAGTGAAAGACTGTAGCCAAACTTATGATGATTGATTTTTGTAAATACTCATTATCTAACACTAACCAGATGAAAATAAATAGATGTTTAATAATAACTTGGTCATGATATTTTAAACCTTATTTTAAATTCTTTATAAGCAAAGATGGATAATGACTAGTAATAGAATCCTATTTTGGACTCGTCAGTTAGATGTACTCGCATCTCACAGTTGATGTTCACTCTTGCCTTTGAACCCAGCATCATTCACTTCAAACGCTATCGCGTTATCCACTTAGCTATTGAGTCCTGATAGCCACTCGTTTGTGCAATGGTGTGAAGTTTAAATTCACTTGGTGTTGTTCGCTTGTATCTTCCAATTGTTGTTTAGGACTGAATTGATCAGGCACTTGTCGGCATCTGCGCAATAACGAGGCAATCCACACAAAATGCACATATGCCAACAATAGACTGATCTGTTGCAGTCTTAAATAAAAACAGGATGATATAAGCAAACAACATCGAGTGAATTTACTTTCAATTCGTCTGAATTATAGCTTCCTTATTACTACTGATATCAAAGATGAATTAAACTCTTCTATGGTGGAGAAGATTTTTAGCTCAGGTGGATGATTTTGGTGGAGTTTTGTTCTCTGAGCTGGATGGTTTGGTCGTGGAGCACAGAACAAGCTTTGAGACACATATGGAGAAATTCAAACACTTCACTTCTATCTGAAGTTTGTGCTGATGATGTTGTTCAGAAGAACAATGAAAGCTCCACGACCAAACCATCCAGCTCAGAGAACAAAACTCCACCAAAAACTCTTCTATTCACTAATAAAATTGTTAACCTGTTGGCTAAAAGTGTTTCGTTTTTTTTCCTATTTGTCCTGTAGTTAAATTCGCAATCTAAACGTTTCATAACAAACAATTTGTTTTGCTACTATAAATCCTATTCAAAAACTCTTCCAAATCACTAGCAAAATGTATCATCCAATCGGATTTAGAAAATGCGAAAAGCTTTATTTTAAACAGTCAAACTAACAGTAAACGAATTCATTATACAAATTTCAATGTATTAAAAGAAGATTAAAAAACTAAATCAAGAAGATAATCAGTAATAAGAAAGATTTTAACATAATGAGACTAATACTTAATCAGTCTACGAAAAACATTCAAAATTTGCTTCAGGACTTGAAATACTCTTCACTGATGATAAATGTTAAATACAATTCAACGTGTTGTTTTCAGAGATCTTAAACAATTCGCCATTAAACAATACGTTGACTAACTAATAGTTGAAATGTTTAACTCATTACAACTGATTGAAGACACAGTTTGGCGAAACTATAATTTGTGGACGAACCAATCAGATTTACGATAACAGGTCTTAGATTTTGGCGCGAAATTCATTCACCCATTTGGCTAAATATGGGCTTGACATTATAACTGATGTCTGTTCGTGATGAAATCCCTAAATCTAATTTCTAACGCTAATCATCATCTGTAGATCATAATCCTTATCCTTCAAACAATTTTATAGCCCTCATGTAGCCCTAGTAATTAGGTTGACACTCTCAAGGTCACTTTGATGTCGCTCAAAGGTTGTCCATAAATTATAATCCCACCCACAGTTTACTTTCTGTAAGAACAACAATTTCTTTTTTTCTTCACTTTCAATGAACTGGAATGATAATCATTCACCATTACAGGTCAGATATAATTTCTTATACTTTTAACAAGTTTAATTTTAATTGTCCCTTAATCAAAGATACCTAAACATTAAAACATCAGAATGATTACTTACGTGAATCCAAATGATAATTTTCAACACCCCCCCCCACTAAACTGACCAAATCTTAGTTAACTTGATAACTTTAACTGATGTACTTCAAACAATCATACAATATGAATACTCTAACTATAAACAGAATACAATGTAAAAGAGAATGAAGTAAATAAACGATGATGATTATGTTACATTCTATCTATTTGTCTAGTTTTCTTTATCCAAAGTAAGAATACATCTATCAGAATAGAATAGAAAAACACTTTATATACAACATAAATCGATATTCTTGTAAGACACCTCTGTTTACATTTTATAAAATAAACAAGATGAAACAAGTTTTACATTAATAATAAATAAATAAATAAATAAACAAGAATGGAAAGAAAATAAAACCTTTTAAAGGTTGGTATAATACAAGCATATTCATATCTATATAACCATACATATATACCATATATAATTGTATATTATTCAATTGGAGTAATGGTAACACCACCACCAACAACAACAACAAGAACAAAAGAGTGTCGAAGTAACTATATCATGTCATTATAATGTAAAACGATATACAGAATGTATAAACTATGTTAACTTATCATAATTAGTTTTAAGTATACAATGAAAGTAGTTTGTTTTGAATATGATCGATCACATATTTGATGCAGTTTTTATTCAGAATTATAATGCTTGAAAATAAAATTGATTAAAATCATTTTATACAAATTACATAAATGAGTTCTTTGTTTACTTGAATCTTTCCATTAGTGTTTAGGATAGCAATTGATCAGTCTATTATTGACATATATGCGTATTGCCTCGATATTGCCTTAAGTCATAAGCTTTATAAGTAAAGATGTATGGTGGCTAGCAATGGAATTCAGGATGCGTGTTTTATTCTAATTGGGACTAGTCAGAAATGGGAAGATACACGCAAACAATACCAAATCAATTTAAGATCCACATCATTGCACAAACAGGTAGCTAACGTGATGGTGTTTGAAGTGAAGGGTAACTGGGTTCGAGTCTTAGAGTGAACATCAAATCTGTGATGCAGGTACATCCAACTGACGAGTACCATATAGGAAGAAAGGTGCGTCCTGGATTCCATTACTAGCTTCTATCGATCTTTGCTTAAAAAGAATCTGGTTGATTTCCAAAATAATATTTTAATATATGAAATAAACAAAATGAAAAAGTTATGGATTATAATCGCTGGAAAATTTCCATTCTGTTAAAACACAATTGTATGAATGAAGAATATTCTTTTCAATAATTTCTCATCAGGTTCTACAATTATCATATCCAAATTAATAATCCATAAAATTGGCCAGGTTTAAGGCAGATTACATCATTTGGAAATTGTAATATGTGAACTGAGAATTGTTGTTTGTTATATAAAATCAATTCTGATCGTTAATGTTGGGGCTGTTTAATATAAAGTGTTAACTTGAATCAGTTTATAAGCGAAATGAAATTGTGAGATAAATATGGTCAACGTGGGGTGAGAGAGAAAACAATGGAATAAAAATCGGAAATTACGTAATATGTAGAATAATATGAATTAGGTCAAATATAGTAGATTTAGGGGTGAATATTGAATAAATTCCTCAAAAGGTTACCAAGTGTAAAGATACTACTACTACTACTACTACTACTACTACTACTACTACTAATAATAATAATAATAATAATAATAATAATAATAATAATAATAATAATAATAAAATGAACATTAATCAGA